CAGTCATGCTGCTGCCCTGGCCTCGTGTTTAACCCAGGAGCTAACGTTTGGAGAGCTGACGTTCTCATGAACGGGGAAATCGGGGTCCTTGGTGCGAACCCTGGCTCACGCTGAGAGCCCCGCGTCCCTCTCTGCGCGCTGACACCGAGCTCCTTTCAGAGCTGGGACACGGAGCTGGAGGCCTTTGCTCAGGCCTATGCAGAGAAGTGCATCTGGGACCACAACAAGGAGAGGGGCCGCCGGGGGGAAAACCTCTTCGCTATGGCCCCAGTCCTGGACCTGGAATTCGCTGTGGAAGACTGGAACGGGGAGGAGAAATACTACAACTTGTCAGCTTCCACGTGTGTCTCCGGGCAGATGTGCGGCCACTACACCCAGGTACCGGGCTGCAGGGTGGAGGGATGGGGCTGTTGGGCTCCCAAAGTCTTTAGAGAGGGATGGGGAACCAGGGAGGAATCACAATGGTACAAAGGAACCTGGGCACGGTCCATGAGCAGCCTTTCAGAGAAGACCTTTGCTTAAACAAGCTCTGCAGCAATTTTTGGGTTACCCAGACCTGGGCACCAGCTGGTCTTGGGCAGAGATACGAGGTTTCAGCCCTAGATAGGAGGAAGGAGGAGCAGAGATGGTGGTGCTAAGTATGAGTATGGATGAAGAGAGTGTTCCAGGACCAAAGTAGAGATGGTGATGCTCTACCTGGCTAGACAATACAGTAGGAAAGCTGTGGCACTTGGATATACAACCTGCAGCCCCAGGTTGGTCCAGACAAGGGCAAGAGAGAGGATCCTGAATGCTAAAGTAATGTGGGGATGTGGGGCACACACTAGGGGATGAGGAGGACATTGGTGCAGTGATAGAGCAGTGCCAAGGGACAGGTCACCAACAGGGCACCATTTTAAACTGAAACAGGGGAAGTTCAGGTTGGATCTAAGGCAGAAGCTCTTCCCTGTGAGGGTGCTGAGGCGCTGGCACAGGGTGCCCAGAGAAGCTGTGGCTGCCCCATCCCTGGCAGTGTTCAAGGGCAGGTTGGACACAGGGGCTTGGAGCAAGCTGCTCTATGGAAGGGGTCCCTGCCCGTGGCAGGGGTTGGAGCTGGAGGAGCTTTAAGTTCCTTCAAGCCAAACCAGTCCATGTTTCTATGGCTCTATCTGCCTCCACCCAACCACCTCACCTTCAGCCCTGTCTTCCTCAGGTGGTCTGGGCCAGCACGCACCAGATCGGCTGTGGAGCAAAGTTCTGTGACAAGATCGATGGAATCGAAGCTGAGGGCATGCACCTGCTCGTCTGCAACTATTACCCCCCGTAAGTCCCACTCCTCCCGTGGCTGGTGCGCCGCAGTGGGGTGTCTGTGCAGGAGATGTCCTTCCTTCAGCCCTCGCAGCAGGGCAGGGTTTGGCCTTGCTCAGGAGCAAAGGCAAAGCGATTCCCAGACAGGTCTCTGTTACCTTGGGTCGGTCACCAAGGCAGGAAGGGTTTTCTGGTGATCCCTGCCCATGACTGCCGCCGCTGAGGTGTGGGTCAGCTCCTGGCACACACCTGGGGGGGCACCTTTACCCCAAAGAGCTCCCCGGGGCTGATGCCGCGGTAGCTGAGGCGCAAACAGCAGCTCCCTGGGCTGTGCCTTGCTCTTCCCCGCCGGCAGCAGAGGCCACCTTGGATGGAGAAGCCCATTTGCAGCATCAGAAACGGTTGGACATGGGAGGAGAGGTGGGTGCCTGCTTGCGAAGCCCTGGGACCAGCCTTGGGGACCACTTGCTTGGAGCTGATGACACCAACAAGAGCAGTTGGTGCCTGCAGGACTTTAGGGGTCTTGAGCAGACGGGAGACAAAGTGAGGTCTCCAAATGCCCATCTCCTGCCCTGTTCTAGGGGTGGTGAAGGATCTGCTCCCTGAAGCTGGCTCCATGGCTGCAGCAGCCTTGGTGCAAAGCTGTTGAGCAAACGGCACTGACGGTGTGGCAGGAGACCAAGACTTGGCTTTCACGTTGTTAGCGTCGAGACAAACCCATAACCACTGGGATGGTTATATGAGGTGCTTTATTGAGGCGCCGGGAACCAGGGGCACGCACCCAAATCTGGTTCCGATTCCCATCACATCGCGTTCGCAATTTATACGCTAAAAATTTCGTAACTAATACATATTCAACAGAGATTACATCACTGACTAATACATATGCATCAAAGATTGCTACATCAATCTATTACGACATCAGCCTCTTCTGCGCTTGCGCCGCCCCCTCTGGTGGTCGTCCTGATGAAGTAAGGAGTCTTCCTCAGATGAAGTAAGGAGTCTTCCTCAGGACCTTTTCCTTACTTGGATATATCCCAACCCTTGTGTGGACGCTAGCATTTTCTTATCAGCTTCTGGTATGCTCTTCTGGCTACTTTATGCATAGGTTCCATTTAGGTATAGTCTCCAGTACATACCTTTCTAAATCCACCCATACACATATCATTGCAACACTGGTTACAGAACTAACGTGATACAAAATTGCAAAGTTACAACATTTTCTAATATACAAAACCTCACTATTGATTTATAAATTTCTCAAACATAATCATTTCTACTATTTTATATTATTGTTTTATTGTAAAAACTTCACCTCCTCTAACAACGTTAGTCCTGAGTTTTGCCTTGGCTGGGATATTCCGTTTGGACCAGACCCCTCCTCTGGGATGGGTGTTTCCCCCTCTCCTCACACTTCTTTTTCCTGGCAGGGGTAATATGAAAGGCCGAAAGCCCTACATGGAAGGACCCTCATGTTCACAGTGTCCCGAGGGCAGAGTCTGCGTCAACTCCTTGTGTGGTAGGTGAAGAGAAGCGGCGCGTGTGGGACTGGGACCCCTGCGTTGGGGTCCAAGCTCGGAACGCTGCTGGAGCTATTGGGAAGCCCTGGACCAGCAGTTCCAGGGCTGGACCGTGAGACACGAGGTGTGCTGGCAGGCTCCATGAGGAGGGTGGGACGAGGACTTGGAGCCCCCTTAGGCTGCAGCCTTTGGCCCGTGAGGATGCCCCTTGAGGAGCAGGAAGCGGTGGGAGGGGGATGAGAGGTCTCCAGGCTGGGAGCCCAGAGGCGGGACAGCCCCATTGAGCAGAGAGGGCTCGGCTGCTGCTTCAGCCCCCTGGGTCCTGCTGGCCCTGCTCAGCACAGGGCTCTGCTGAGGGGAGGCCACAGCAGCCCTAACCCTGCACTTCTCGTCTCTTACCAGAGCCCACTGTAGAAGAGACCACTCCAGCCCCTGTGACAGCAAAGGCAAGGCCCTCCACCCCAACCACTTCCATGCCAAAACCCACAGCCACAGCCAGACCAGCACCCACCACACCAGTACCCACTGCAACCACAGCCAGACCAGCACCCACCACAGCCAGACCAGCACCCACCACACCAGTACCCACTGCAACCACAGCCAGACCAGCACCCACCACAGCCAGACCAGCACCCACCACACCAGTACCCACTGCAACCACAGCCAGACCAGCACCCACCACAGCCAGACCAGCACCCACCACAGCTAAACCAGCACCCACAACACCAGTACCCACTGCAACTACAGCCAGACCAGCACCCACTACAGCCAAACCAGCACCCACCACAGCCAGACCAGCACCCACAACACCAGTACCCACTGCAACCACAGCCAGACCAGCACCCACCACAGCCAGACCAGCACCCACAACACCAGTACCCACTGCAACCACAGCCAGACCAGCACCCACCACAGCCAGACCAGCACCCACAACACCAGTACCCACTGCAACCACAGCCAGACCAGCACCCACCACAGCCAGACCAGCACCCACCACAGCCAGACCAGCACCCACCACAGCCAAACCAGCACCCACAACACCAGTACCCACTGCAACCACAGCCAGACCAGCACCCACCACAGCCAAACCAGCACCCACCACAGCCAAACCAGCACCCACCACAGCCAAACCAGCACCCACAACACCAGTACCCACTGCAACCACAGCCAGACCAGCACCCACCACAGCCAGACCAGCACCCACAACACCAGTACCCACTGCAACCACAGCCAGACCAGCACCCACCACAGCCAAACCAGCACCCACAACACCAGTACCCACTGCAACCACAGCCAGACCAGCACCCACCACAGCCAGACCAGCACCCACCACAGCCAGACCAGCACCCACCACAGCCAAACCAGCACCCACCACAGCCAAACCAGCACCCACAACACCAGTACCCACTGCAACCACAGCCAGACCAGCACCCACCACAGCCAAACCAGCACCCACAACACCAGTACCCACTGCAACCACAGCCAGACCAGCACCCACCACAGCCAGACCAGCACCCACAACACCAGTACCCACTGCAACCACAGCCAGACCAGCACCCACCACAGCCAGACCAGCACCCACCACAGCCAGACCAGCACCTACCACAGCCAGACCAGCACCCACCACAGCCAGACCAGCACCCACAACACCAGTACCCACTGCAACCACAGCCAGACCAGCACCCACCACAGCCAGACCAGCACCCACCACAGCCAGACCAGCACACACAACACCAGTACCCACTACAACCACAGGCAGACCAGCACCCATAACACCAGTACCCAGTATAACCACAGCCAAACCAGCACCCACAACACCAGCACCAACTACAGTCAAACCAGCACCCACATCAATGCCCACCACAGCCAAACCAGCACACACAACACCAGTGCCTACCACAGCCAAACCAGCACCCATAACACCAGCACCAACTACAGCCAAACCAGCACCCACATCAATGCCCACCACAGCCAAACCAGCACCCACATCAGTGCCCACCACAGCCAAACCAGCACTCACAACATCAGTGCCCACTACAGACAAAACAGCACCCACAACATCAGTGCCCACCACAGCCAAACCAGCACCCACAACATCAGTGCCCACCACAGCCAAACCAGCACTCACAACACCAGCACCCAGTACAACCACAGCCAAACCAGCACCCACCACACCAGTGCCCACCACAGCCAAGTCAAGACCCACAACCACACTTGCAATCACCACCACGTTCCCAACCACAGCCCAGCCCAGCCCCACACCGCTCACACCCATCACAACAGCCAAGCCAAAACCTGCCACCACACAACCAACGCCAACCCCAGGCAAGCCAAAACCCATGACACCAGCAACCACCACAGCCATGGCCATGCCAAAGCCCACCATGCCAGCACCCAGCACCACTACTACCAAGCCAAAGGCCACCATGCTAACATCCACCACACCAAACCCCACCACAACTGTGACCAAGCCAGCACTCACCACAACCAACGATGCAGCCAAGCCAGCACCCACCACACCAACACCTACCACTACTACAGCCAAGCCAATACCTGCTGCTACAACATCACCAAAGCCCAAACTCACCACCACAACACCAGCTTCTACCACAACAGCAAAGGTGCAGCCAAAACCTACCACAACCACAAAGCCAGAACGCACTGAAACAGAAAGACCCACTCCTACTGGGGCAACTGGGCTATCTCTTTCCTTGGAGCCCACAACAGACTTAGATTATGAAGTGTCTCCAGAAGCAGAGGTAGACACTGGAGAGCCTGTTAGCCCCTTAACTACAGAGGATCCAGCCTTGTTAGAAAGCATGGGCACAGCCTTCAGCCCCAAATCAGTCCCAGAAACAAATCAAGGTCTCAAAGAGGATGGGAAGGAGAAATCGGCCTTTTCCAGCCCACCTCCATCCCTCAACCAAATAGTTCCAGAGATCAAGTTAGGCTTCAACAAAGCTGAGCTCATAACCCCCTCAAAGCCAGTGCTCTTCAGCCCTGAAGAACCCACCTTCTTGCGCTTAACTTCATCTGCCAAAGACCAAAAAGGGCAGAGCCCTGCTTTCCAGAACTCCCTCTCAGGTAAGGTGATGGTGGAGTCTGTCCTGGCATGGACCCTCAGACGTTCCGTGATCCCCAAGCAGCATGGAGAATGCTTGGGAGGAACCAGGTCCTCTGGATCCTCCCCTTGTGCGTGGCACCAACTCTTCCCCACTCTCCTCTAACACTGAAAGGAGCTGGATGGATGTCTCCTCCACGCAGCGCGGTTTTGTCTGCAGCCTGCTCCCCACTAACCCACCAACCGCCTCACTGGGTGGCTGCACTGCTGCCTCGCATCTCGCCCTGCCTTGGTGCACGTCACCGATGGACCTGCATGAGAGGGAGCTCCTTTTTCTGCCCGCACCTTCCCCTCTAACTCCTCCTTTTCTCCTCTCCCGCCAGCAGGAGCCCTGGGCACCGAAGAACTGGAGACAAACTCGGACCAGGCAAGCGTGGATCAGCCCACGGCTGGAGCCCCCAGTACCTGCATGGGGCTTTCGCTCTTCCTCCTGCCCAGTGTCATCCTGGTGGGCCTTCTGCTTTGAATGGTCTTCCTCAGCTGCCCCTGCACCGGTCACCAAGGCTTTCTTCAGCACTGGTTGTTCCACAACCCTCGCAGGCTTGGGAGACGCCACAGACAATACAGGTTGACACGCTCTCTTCTTATGCTGCCTTATCTGCTCCAGCCCCAGGGAGCCAAGGGCAGCTGGCAGTCCCATAGGAACCTGGTCCCCTTCCTGAGGAGACCCAAGGGCAGGAGGGTGTCTGCCATAGTGCTGGGGACCTTGGATGCTTCTCCTTTCCTCTCAGCCAGCCTGGACTTCTGGTCCGTTTCCAAATGGAATGTGATGAGCTCTCCCACCACCCGTGTGGCTGGCCGGCCCCGCCGCACCGTGTCCCCAGGGAAAGCACAATGACTTGGAAACCGAGTGGCACTGAGACATGGGCATTGGTGTTTGTCTGTAGGTGAGACGTGGTGGTTGGGTTTGTCAGGATAAGTTTCCAGCGGAAGCACTCCTTGCTCCTCCTGATGTGTCTGTCTCAGTTCTGGAGAAGTTTCATCTCTTCCCTTCTTCTCCAAAAAGAGTGGCTTCTTTTTTCCACAGGAGAGGATTTCTGTTTCCTTCCTGGTTCTGGTACAGTTATGGCCAGTGCTACCCAAATGTTCTCCTTTCTCCTCCTCACACCTCTGCAGCCTTCGCCTCCTTCCTCTCTTCTGCTCTCTGCTGCATGTACCCATTCCACAGTCATGGAATCATGGAACCCCAGCCTGGTTTGTGTTGAAGGGACCTTAAAGCTCCTCCAGCTCCAACCCTGCCACGGGCAGGGACCCTTTCCACTAGAGCAGCTTGCTCCAAGCCCCTGTGTCCAACCTGGCCTTGAACACTGCCAGGGATGGGGCAGCCACAGCTTCTCTGGGCACCCTGTGCCAGCGCCTCAGCACCCTCACAGGGAAGAGCTTCTGCCTCAGAGCTCATCTCAGTCTCCCCTCTGGCAGGTTAAAGCCATTCCCCTTGGCCTGTCCCTACAGGCCCTTGTCCCAAGCCCCTCTCCAGCGTTCCTGCAGCCCCTTTAGGCACTGGAGCTGCTCCTTCTCTTCTAGTCCAGTGCCTTGACCATTATACGCATGTGCCTGCACCTCTGTGCACGCACACAAGACAAACCTTCAGCACCAAAGAGTTGTTGCTGGCTCCTCATAGAGCTTTCTTCTGCATGGCTTCCTTCTGTGTGTAACTTAAGTGTATTTGAATTCAGATACAGATCCTGGTTGCCGTATAACTTGTGTGTGATGGAACTGGGTCCAGGAGAAATAAAAGTCAGCATGTGTGCTGGTGAAAATTGGAGCTCGAGAGAGCCAAGGGGATGATGCTAGAGGTTACCAGTGGTTCCAGGACTTGCTGCAGGACCACTTTCACTGTCTGGGACACTGTGTTTAGGCCCCCCTTCATGTCTCTGTTCCCTTCACCTGAGGATTCCCAGGGAGTGTTGAATATGTGACAAGCTTTGAAGAGTGGTGGGAAGGGAATAGGAGACCCAGTCCCTTCTCTGGTCGCTGCATCCTTTGATTTCTTAAAAAGATGAGGTGTTGAATGAACTGAAAGCCAATATTTGTGTCCTCCACTCCACTGTTGTGTCCTGTGCATCCCCAGAGCATGCACTGAATAAACCCTGTGGTGAAAGGCTGTGAAGTGTCTCGCTGGGGGATCTGGAGGCTGGGGACCTGCTTATTCTATCACTGAAACACTCTCAATGGTGAGCTTGGCAGAATCACTCCTGGGATGCTGCAGGGGTTTGGGTTTGGTGTTGTGAAAGCACCCAGGAGCCAGTTTTTGCAAGGGTGAAACTTAAAGTTTTGAAGCCTGTGTAAAAGCAGCAGGAGGAGGAGGCTGGGGATGCTGTAGGGAATGTTCCCCGAGCACCCAGCTGAGGCCAAAGCAAAAACTGCCCCGCAGGAACCTGGGGGCAAGGAAAGCAAAAGGAAGAGAGCTCAGAGTTAAAAAATGGAAATCCAAGCTGGGGTTCTGTTTTCCCAGCCTCTCCCAGCCCCGAGCACAGTTTTTCATCTTTGCAGCAAGGACAGAAGTTAAATGCAAGCGTGTGGCCCCACTTTCCCTGTTCCTGCAGCGCTTTCACTGCAGAACATCCCCCAGCTGCGAGCAGCGCCCGGGGAAAGGGCCTGTAAGACTTCAGCTCGCCGCCCAGGAGCGATGCTGGCACCAGGCCTTTGCTTTTGGCTTTTCCCCATCCTTTCCCCCCGGCTTTCCCTGGCCAGGCTGCCCCGCAGCTCCTCATTTCCCTTCTCCATGCCGCCGTGCAGCCGGAGCCCAGCAGCACCAGCTTCCTTGCAGGAAAGCAGCTGCCTCCGGGGTTTCTTCAGGTCACGCTCGGTGCCAGCCCTGCGGAATGGGGACCGGCAGATGGCAGTGGGAGGGACACCGCTGAGAACTGGGCAGCTCGAACTCGCCGCGCAGAACCCTTCGGTGCTTCACTGAATCCCAAGCATCAGATGAAGTTAAGAAGCAGATGAGAAAGAGCCTCCTGCCCAGGTAGTGGGGCTGCTCTCGGCGCAGGCTGAGCTCCTGCTGTTGAGCTGCTTTCTGGGATAAAGAACCAGCCTTGGGTTAAGGATGGATGAGAGAAATAGAGCCCGAGCAGCTGGTGTTTGCCTGATGTGAGGGGTGAGGGTTCAGGCAGGGATGGAGCGCTGCAGGACCACAGCTGGTGAAGGAGAGCATAGCACCAACTCCCTGTGAGCAACAGAAAGAGCAGAAAAGCACTTCTCCTCCCAGCAAAGCCTGGGCATTTGGTCAACACCTGATCTTTTGCCAGTGCTGGATCCCCCCCCCTGCTGAGAGCCTTCGTGGGGCTGGGAGCAGCAGCGCTGCTGCGTCAGCACAACTCCATCGACAGGATGCCAGGATTTCAACGTTGCACCACGATTCCGGGGCTATGAGCTTTGTGAAAGCTGTTACCGTTTGGTTTCCATGAGGTTCCGATTTCTGGAGGCACGCGCTCGTGCAAGGACCTATTTATAGAGTTCCTTGTAACAGAAAATTCAGCCCCAGAAAGGAAATTCCCCTTTCCTCTTCCCCCTGCACACCCCAGCGGGGCTGAGCCCTGACAGCACAGGCATTTGGGGTGCTTTGGTTTAACCCTAAATTAAGGGGGGTTAGGGAGGGACGGAAGATGACTGCGTGGCGAGGGCAGGGTATGGTGTGATGCACAGGGGAGGACACAAAACATGCAAGGGAGACTCCTGTAGCATTCCCATTCCATTTTCTGGGGTTGGCATGAAGGATGTTCTGGTATTGGGGTGACCAAATAGAAAACTCCTCGGGGAAGGAGCCAATACCATAGCAAAGATGCTGCCAGATTCTGGCAGCCCCATGGCCACGTATGATGGGAGGAAGAGAGGGTGTTAACCATCAGCTGTGGCCATTTGGGTTAACAGCAGGGGATTTATGGTGTTTATAAGGCCTGGCTGCTGCATCAACTCCACCTACTTGGTTCTCCCGACCCCAGGGCCCTGTTTCCCAGCAGGGAGAGGGATACGCCTGGTGCTGGTTGAACGAGAGGAGGTTGCTTGACTTTGGATGCTGATGTTTCCCCTGAATATGGTGACTTGGAAGGGCTGGGGAAGCACATGCCCCATCCTGAGGGGTTTCAGCTGGGGCTGTGATGCTGGCTGCCAAATTCCCTTGGAGTGTTTGGGTTGAAAACCCTCTTGTACCTTCCTTTTGCTAGAAGAAGGCACATACCCCTGCTTGCCACTGTGGCTAGTGATGGCATTGCTGCCCCCCCTGAGCTGTGCTGTGGGACCCTGGGCAGTGAGTCTGGCTATCCCATATATCGACAGTTATAAGCCTGCTGAGCCTCCTCCTGGGCAGAGGCTGCCCTTTCCCATACAGTGGGAAGCTTTAGAGACACTAAATATTGCCTTGGCTGGTTTCTGAGCTCTAGCTGTGGCTTAGTTGGGACAAGATGATGGGCTGGTGGAGCCTGAAGTTCCCATGTTCTCCTGTTGCTGGTATCTCTTATGAGCATGCTTACAGCAAGGACTACCTAAGGCAGAGAGAAGCCCAGCCTGCAGCCCTTGAGCTGACTGGGGATGAGGAAGATTAGGCCTTCGCAACAGGATTTGGGTTGGCCCAGGAAAGCACCTACTGACAGCCAAAAATGAATGGTCTTAGCTGCTTGACCAACTCAATCTGCTCCACATCCTTATCGTGTCCCAGCTGTGGCTTCCCTTTCATGCTCAGGGTCTTGGTCAAACAGAGAATCTAGTCAGTGACACAGTCAGGAACCCTGGCCACCCCTCTCGAGGTCCCAGTTCACCAACCAAGCTCCCTTCAAGGCAGTCAGAAGATGCTGTTTAAAGAAGTCAAACCAAGTTCATTTGCAGAAGAGAATCTCTCCAGTAATATTTTATTCATGGCTTCCAGATAGCGCAGCTTCATCACTCGAGATTCCCTGCATGAGCATCAATGCAATGGAGGGGACTGAACTGATTTCACCTGGGACACACAGGATTGGTTCTTATAGAATCATAGCATGTTTTGGGTTGGAAGGGACCTTAAAACTCATGCAGTTCCAACCCCTCCCACGGGCAGGGACCCCTTCCACTAGAGCAGCTTGCTCCAAGCCCCTGTGTCCAACCTGCCCTTGAACACTGCCAGGGATGGGGCAGCCACAGCTTCTCTGGGCACCCTGTGCCAGCGCCTCAGCACCCTCACAGGGAAGAGCTTCTGCCTTATATCCAACCTGAAGTTCCCCGGTTTGAGTTTAAACGCATTCCCCCTTGTTAAACACGAAGTGGATATGCTCTGTTCCCATGCTTCTGGTGCTATTTTGGTCCCTTCCAAGCGATTTGTGGGTAGGAGCCCTGCCCCTTAGCAAGCAGCTAGAGGATAATAATGCATCTGAGAGGACCAGGCTGTAGTTTTGCACAGCACGTCACCAGGACTGTTGAAGAGCCAGATTTATGGAGCGAGGGCTGCATTCCTTCACCACTAGACACTGCGGCATCCCCACCCACCAGCTGCTGCCCAGCCTGAGCAAGTCCCATCCCAGCCTCACCACAGCTACACCCTATCCCAGGAAGCAGAGGAGCCTTAACCAAGCTGCTTCATTTCTGGGGAGCCCCACGGCCCAAGCAGTCAGGTCTGGGTCTCCCTGTGCGTTTGCTCAGGGTGAAATTGGAGGGCTCCAGTTTCTTTTTGCAGGTCTCTTCCTCCCACATCATCTGAGAAGGTGGCCTCTGCTTGCCCTCGCTCCCTGATGTCTCGGATCTCTCCCGTCTCCATGGCAGTGAGATGGCAGTGATAATGGCCTGAGGTGGCCTTCAGTCTTGAGGAACTGATGCAGCCCTGATCGTGTTACAGCTCGATCCTACTTGCTCTTGCATCTAGCAGAGGGTTAGTCCCATCTGCTCCTAAGAAAGAGAAGAAATAACAATTCCCTGCCCCTGGTCAAGTGCCAGAGCTCTGGAGCAGGCTGTCTGCTCATGTCTGTTGGCATATGACAGTACTACCTGCCTGGGAGAACCCAAAAGGATTAGGACTTGCTCCCTTTGGCTTACATCTCTTCCTTACCTGTCTCCCCTCTAGGACAGGCTGTTAGTCTGAACCAGTGGCTTATCCTATGTAAGTACACAGGAGCCCTAGTCTCCTCACCAGGGTCTGTGTATTAGTGTTAGGTTGATATGGATTATCAAACCAGAAACAACCACCCTCTAACTCTATACCATGGCAAAGATGGGAACTTGTCCAAACCAGAATGCGTTTCCTGAGTGGGACCAACCAGCCAAATTGGATCAGCTCTCAAGGCTTTGAGTCTACAGGATAAGCACCCTCTTGGATCTAGTTTTTAACCCAGGCTTCAGAATTGGGTGCTCAGATCTATCCTCTTTGTACCAAAGCACCCACTCCCCTTCACACTTGAGGATAGACCAGAAAAGAACAGCACATTTAAACCATTTACAGCTTGAGCCCATCTCCTGCAAAAAAGAACAGTACTGAACACCAGAAGCTGATGCACCAGCTCAATTCATTGTTTCTCTTGCACCCATGAAACAGATTGATTTTATGCAGGAGGGTGGCTCCATAGGCATAGCTGAGGCATGGAGCAGTCCCTGGAAGAACACAGTCCTGGGTGCTGTAAGAGAAGAGCCACCGAGCTGTTCGACAATGCTGTGCTGTGTTTTGGGACCCTCAACAGAGAGAAGTGATGCCTCAGGACCAACGTGGCTGAGCCAGTCCTCCAGAGGTTTTGCTGCTCTTTAAGGAAGGCAATAGACTGTATAGTTATCACCTGAAATGGGATAAAATCCCTCCCACCAAACTATACAACCTACTACCTCACCTCCACAGAGCAGTACAGAGGTCTTGGCTGATGCACGCCGTATCACTGGCTTTGCATTACTCGCACCACCTGCCTCCACGCCTGGTGTAGATGAGAACTGAAGACCTGACTGTCTCCTTAGGAAAGACAGTAGATTGTATAGTTAGCTCAAAGGGAGGACCGGACTCCACAACTATTCAATCTACTACCTCAGCCTCAAGGACAGCTTGGGACCATGGCACTCTAAGGCAGTGAGATGATCCTGATTCAGGTGTTGGCTACTCCGAAGCTCCTGTGAAGAGAAACGTGAAAATCCATCAGACTTCGTGATGTTAGGGAAAGGATTCTCATACCCAGCTTGTCCTGGAGCTCCCTTTCCTTCTTTAAACCTTCTTCAGTCCGCTTGGGCTATCCTTTATCCTTGGCAATAACAAACTTTATGCACCCAAGGGCTTACGGAAGCGGCAGCCCTCCCCTTGGAACCCAGGGCCATACCTGCAGATAGCAGAGCTCTCCTGGAACTGCAGTCATGCCAAGTAACATACAGCCAGGCTGACCTCACCTCTTGAACACACACCGTATCTAGAACAAACCTGCCAGCCCAGATAAGAGAATCCATCCATTTAGCTGCCATGCACTCCAGGGAATTGAGCAGATTAGAAATAACTGACTACAAGGAAGCTTTTAGGCTGCAGATGTAATGGTATCGAGCACATCAAGGCAGATCTCATTTCCTAAACAAATGAGTGCAACATGCAGGCTTGGTGTCCCTTTAATGCTACAGCACAGCCAGGCGGTATTAGCATGGATCTGAGACAGACCGGCTAACCCCTGAGCCCTTGGCTCACCTTCTGAGACTTTCTCATTCTCTGTACGTCCAAACACAGAAGCAAGGTACTAAGCTGGTAGTTTAAAAAGGTTCTTTTGCCATGAGAAATCATTCCCTTGGAGATGAAAGAAAGCCATAATGAAAAGGGAGCCACACGCAGCACATCAAGCGGGCTGTGTGTGCAGCACAATGGAGCCCCAAAGGAGGACTTTCCCCAGGTCTCAGCAGGAGGTGGCCCCAGGCTCTGCTGAGTGCTGTGGTGGGACAGGCAGGCGCTAAGGCAGAAGTCCCCAAGGAGACAGAGGCCGCCTGGTGCTTTGTGCTTCCCCAGCTAACAGCAACAGCCTGAGTAAGTGACATTCCCCAAGGTTTGGTGAGCTGTGGCAGCTGAGATCCTCGAGGTGACAGTTCCGGATGGCAGGGGTAGGAGGATATCTGTGCAGCGAGGTTTGGAAAGTGCCCCTGTTCCTTTGCAGGGCTCTCTGAAGTCCTTCTCACTGCTGTTCAACACGGTCCAGGTAATTCTCTTAATTTCCTTTGACAAACCCAGCCTTCACAAGGGGTAACCTACTGTGCCAGGCCATCTGGCCCAGGCCTCTCCTAGTGTGACAGGGTACAAACAGCATCAGAAAATCAATGTTGCGGGACTGATTCCTACAGCATTTCAGTACCCAGCCCACCCACAGCGCCAAGTACCTTGCATCCCAAACAGCCTTCTGATGGGAAGTATTACTCTTCCTATTTTACTGGCATAAAAAATGATGCACAGAGGCTGTACATCCCTCTGTAGCACGTACAACACCAAGGATAGTCAGCCTAAAGGTCCATCCAGTGTGTCACAGACCACTCTGCCTCATCAGGGACAGAAGAATGAGTTTAGCCTGAAGTGTTTCAGCTTTCCAAGAATTAAGCCAGTGTCACAGGCATGAACCAGAAGGGACCATGGTGGCAAGAAAGCCTGTGATCGCTGCCATGGCAGAGGCCTGGGGATGTGGATGGTCTGGGTGATCACACTGGGTGATGCAGAAAATCATCATCTCCAAAGACACTTGTGGCACCTGACCTGGGGGAACAATTCTTCCTGATTGCCAGTCCAGTGGCTTATATTGTTTTAAACATATAAGCAAGATGTATAGGCCAGGTATAGGCCAGGCATCTAAAAGGTCACTCTTGCTACCATTGCAGAGAAGAGGTGTTTTTTAGGCCAACCTCAAACCGTGGGTGGGAAATTGCATTAAATAACTCCTAGTTCCCATAGGTCCAATTATACATGGAGAGGTGAAAAAAAAATCCCTTCTGACTTCTATCAGTAATCCTGAAAACAGGAGGTTTAATTAGAATAATTGTCTTAATGAGTAGAGGTTTGGGGAATACCCAGCTGCTGACTTTGCAATCCTGATCCTGCCAGGATCTGTGAAGAAAGGAGTCAAACAGGAGGATTTAGGAATACTACACGTGGTAAGGATCCCTGTGACCATCCTAGCCTTACCTTTGCTGTCATAGAATAGTTATGGGTTGGAAAGGACCTCAAGATCATCCAGTTCCAACCCCCCTGCCATGGGCAGGGACACCTCACACTAAAGCATGCCACGCAAGGCTTCGTCCAACCTGGCCTTGAACACTGCCAGGGATGGAGCATTCACAACTTCCCTGGGCAACCCATTCCAGTGCCTCACCACCCTAACAGGAAAGAATTTCCTCCTTAGATCCAATCTGTTTCAGTTTGAACCCGTTACCTCTTGTCCTGTCACTACAGTCCCTAATGAAGAGTCCCTCCCCAGCATCCCCATAGCATCCCTGTCACTCTTGTTCGTGCTAGGTGCTGTACCAATTGCAGTGACAGCAAGCCCCTCTCCTGATGGTTTGAGGTCTAAACCATCAAGACACAGGATGGGGAAAGGAAGAGAAGCAGAGAGGTGACCAAACCTATCTAAGATCATAAAGAAAGTCCATGGTAAAGCTGACGCTGGCTCCAGCCTTGGGAAGCCCTGCTCCAGTCTCTGGTCATAATGCCAGGGCAATGGTTTGCCCGGGCCAGCCTTGACCATGTTAGGACAGACTGATGTCCATGTCCCCCAGCTGTCTTTGATGGAGAGGTTAAGGATGATGTTCTGTTTCAATATCTGCAGGAGAACCACAGATCCTGGGAGAGACATCCTCACACACATTCTGGATAACAGCTCAATGATAAAACCCTGCTGGGGTTTCACAGAGACGCATTATGAATTAGTCATATACCCGTGCAACCATCAGATTTGTGCAAACTCCGTCTCTACAGAGATTCCCTGCACAAATCCCATGGCAATCACCAAGGAGAGCTGCATTCCAGCTCTGCCCTGCTTTCCAGACACAAAGCCTTCCCTTCTAGCCTATCTCTGCTGAAGCATTGGATTTACAAGCACCTGAATGTGATGCAGCTGAGGAAAATGCTGGGTAGAACAGCCAAGAGGGGCTGTAGGAGGCAGAAGCCTACACCCCAAAGCTTCTCACTGCCTTCCAAGTTATTTAAGCTCAGGTTTTGAAGATCTTCGGATACCTGACTGCTAAGAACTGGATGTGTTTGAAATCCACTGTTTTCTGGGTAGACCCTAAGGCAGTAGCACTGCCCTTTGCCCCTTCCAGATTCACACGAGTCCTTCAAACTTCACCAAATGGGATTTTTGTGAGAAAAACTGAAGTCTGCGAGGAACCTGAGGGTGGTCCCTGTGCTCAGTGTGCCACAGCACAGTCCTAGTGCACAGAGCCTCTTAGAGCGGTGAGGCACATTGGCAGGTAAAGGATGAGTATGTTTCTTCACAGCAAGATCCTCCAGGCTGGCAGAAAAGTCATTTCCAATGAGGTTTCAGACCCATTTTGGGGAGGAAAAGGTGATGTACAGCTGTCCTTCAGTGAGCAGGGGGGCTCGGGATGACAGCCCATGGACCCAAGTGATGTCCCCCAGAGTTCAAAGCATCTCCAGACCAGGGATGCCCGAGCACGGCCAAGTCTCTGCCTTTAGAACAGGGCTGCCTCGGAGAGGAGTTGGAAAGGCTCCGGAGCTTGGAGGAGCTGATCTGGTTTATTAAGGAGCACTGAATGAAGTGGAGGAGGAGGGGGAGGAGGCAACCATGAAACAGCAGTAGCTCCTTTAAAAAGCAGACACTGCTTTCAGCCTTTGTATAGCCGCGGCCCCGCGTGTCGGTGCCAAAACGTGCTGGGGACAGGCAGGGCTTCCCAGCAGGAAACCAGGGCCCTGAGCCGCCGAGAGGTTTTCCAGCCTCATGGAGCATGGGAGGACTGGGGCAGAACCAGCCCGGCCAAGGCGAAGCCTGCGTGGGCACAAAATGGCTGCCTGTCGGCCATTTTGTTTCCTCAGCTTAGCCTGTAGGGAGGCCGGCGGTGACTTCCCGTCCTCCCCTCGCCGCGTCGCCGGAGTGGGTAAATTCAAAGCAAACAGCCAAAAAAACCCACCCCAAACGGAACAAACCCCAAATAAATGAAACCAAAAAGGAGCGGGGAAGGTTTCCAACAGCTTTCCCAGCGGCGCCGCGGTGTGCGGCTGCACAGAGCGGCGCTCAGAGCCGCGCGGCTGCCGGCCGGCAGCCAGAAACCCGCTCACAGAAAACACACAAAGAGCCCCAAAACCCCATCCTGAGCACACCCCGCGCCGCGGGAAAGGCACCAAATGACATCTGCCAGCCTGGCCACGGGGACAAACCGCTTCGAACTCCTCACAGGCCGGCCAAGTGTCCTTCCAGACCCCGCATCCTGGGGTCGATATGGAAATATCACGATTCAAAAGAGGAAAGGGAAAGAGAAGTCAAAATGGTTAAAGTTCATTCCTGCAATAGCCTCGGCAATGCTTTTCCTCCGTGCTCTTTTCATGACGTAGGTAGTATTCCGTATCAACGTTGTCATAGCATTTAAGCATTTACTATAAAGCAATTAGCAAGTATCTTACTAAGTAGCCACTCATCTGTTCGGGGTTGTCTTGAGTCCTGTCAGATGTTTATAAACATCTGGATCGTCATTAGCGAATCTGGTATTATCATGTATAATACAGGCATTGGTAACCTGCTTGTTATGTGCCTTATCTTTTATTAACCCTTCCTAAATCCATTACAAAGGTGGCCACAAAGGTAGCATTTGTTTTTCTAAATGTTCATGTATGTTCCTTGTAAATTAACATAGAATTTACACTCCTGAAGGAAAAGAATTCCAAGGATTTTTGCCGTAAAGCGGGTGTTACTGCTATTTCATAATGTGATGTTCCTGAAATACTACAAAATATCCAAAAATACTAAAAATCAAGAGATGTAAGAGAAAAAAATTATCTTCCTGCTTTATTTGTACCTGCTCCATCCTCAATTCTGTACGTTACAAACCGAAAGAAAGAAGATCCTTGCCTGTAACCCTCTATAAAGCTCTTCCATGAATACTGTTTCCTGCGCGATGCTCAGCTCCGAAGTTGCCCACAAAAGGTGCAGTTAACGTCCACCCCTGCCGCAGCTTTGGACCCCAACCCTTGGATTTGCCATGCAAACCGCCCGCCCAGCGCCCACACATGCAGCCCTGGCTCCGGGGCCACCGTCGCCCATGCAATCCTGCACATTGTCAAGCTAAAGCAGACACGGAGGCAAATACCTTTCTGTGCGAGAAAAGCGATTTCACCTCTTTCTGCTCCCAGCTCCTCTCTGCAAGCGTCCGCTCCTCTCCCGATGGCTGGGCAGCCCCTCAGGGGAAGGCAGGACGATGGCTCCAACAGCGATGCCTGAGCAGAGCCCGATCCCACCCATGCCACTTGACTGAGATCCGAACGGCTGCGAGCGAAGAGACGTGGCCACTACCTCCAAGACATCCAGGCTACGGCAGGAAACGCAGATTCACTTGAAAGAACCAAAAAACAAATCACTTTTATTTGGCACATTCTGTGGTATTTTTGCCACGTTTCTGCGCAAAATTGTATGGTAACAGCACCAAGTTCCCTTAAACTTTTCGAGGCATGTTACTGTTGATGGCGTCTCTGTCGTGTGTCACACCTTAACGTGTGCAGGATACACAGGCTGGTGCAGTAAGCAGCTTGTGAACACAGTTCAGCTCCATCCCCGTGAGAAAAGCGAGGGCTTAAAAAAAAAAAAAAAAAAAGCCAGAAACAGCTCTTTCTTTTAACATTTAAATTAAGATTTTGTATTCCTGAGAGGAAAACTTTCGAGGCAAGAAGGCAGTAAACAAAAGAGAAATGCCTACAGAAAACCAAGCCGATCCTCCGGATCACATCAGTTAAATCCAGGTCGGGTATCAGAGTCACCAACAGCAAGAGGACACACAACAGGTTAAAACGTTACCGTCCGGCACTGACCAGCTCTAATCATACCAAGCCGATGTGTAAAGCCATCCGCCCGTCCAAAAGCAAATGAGACAACAGTGCTCTCTGGTACTTTATAAACACAGAAGAAAGGAGGGCTGTTTTATTGAGTATAGCGAACAAACCTTTCCGTCCGGCTATACCGTGCAGCCCTGCGACGCTGCAGGCACCGGGTAGCCGTTACGCTGCTAGTACAAAAGCTCAGTTTGGCAATTCCAGGCATTTTCAGTGCTCAACATACGCCAAAACTACCCACTCTCTGCCTCTGACTTTGGTCTCGTTCCAAAAGGTCCTTTTTTTTCTCTCTCTCGCTCTTTTTTTTCCCCTCTCTCACTACAGCCGGTGCCACGTAGAGACGGGAGAGTTGGGCTCCAAAAAAGAGCCAAGTCTCAGCGTCCTGGCTTCCCCCTTTCCAGACGGAAAACAAAATGGCCATGCAGCAGCCATTTTGTTTGCTGCGGGATGGGAGGGAGAAGGGAAGGGAGGGGAGGCGCAGGCCAGGCGGGAGCGCGTGGGAAGGACGAGGGGGGGAGAAGGGAGGGAGAGGGGAGGGCGTCGATTCGGCAGGAACCCAAAAGCCCGGCAGCGATGCCCGGGCGCGTCCTCCCTTCCACCCATGCGGAGGGATGGACACGGGGCCGCGTTCGCCGGCTCTCCCAGGCCGGCCGAGCTCGAGTTGTGCGGGCTGATGGGGGTACGGCTCCTTGCCCAGGCCTGGCTGGCACCTCCCTGCTGCCCGCTGGTGCTGCTGGGCGCCTGCAGAGCAGGGCTGGGGCTCTGCGAGAGCTCCCGATGGGAGCCAGGCAGGAGAGCGGAAGCCAACCGGGAACGTCAAACTCCTGAACTTCCCCGGGCAGGAAACGGTGTAAATAACACCCGCGGGGAGGGGGAGAGGAACCCGGAGCAGGCGAGGAGGCCTTGGGGACAGCGGCTTGGCAGCAGCATGGCCTCGGCAGCCTGGATCCCTCCGGCACCTGCGGTGAGGAGGGAGGGAGCAGTGATGGAGGTTGCCTCGCTGGCTCCATTCCGGACAAGCCTGTGTCAGAAACGGAGCCGCATGGCCGAGGCCTGTGCAGGGTCTGGGCTGCCCTGCGGCGATGCCTCTGCACTCCCAAGCGCACCAGGCAGCGGCAGGCTGTGCACCATGGAGGACGGGGCTCCAGGCTGCGCTCCCCTCCTGAGCTCCATGGCTTTCATCTTTCTGCCCTTCCACAAACCAACACCGCAATGACCCCTGCAGCCCACGGCTTGGGGGACCAGGGAAGCATCACTCGTCCCTCTTCCCCCTAAAGCACAGGGCTGAGCTCCGGGCTAGCAGCCTTCCTGAAGAAGCCAACAAGCTGCACAGATGAATCCTACCCTCCGATTTCAGGTGAAGTCCCTTCAAGTCCTGACCAAAACCAGTCTTATAGAGCAAGGCAAGCACCTTGGGACCTTGCGTGAGAGCAGCCAGCCCAGGAAGACCCTTAGGAGCACACAAATCAAACACATCCTGGGCTTTCTGCTTCTGTAGAAGAGACAAGCAATGTGAATCAGGACTATTCCCAGGATTTAGGATGGGTGAGAGCTCTCAGCCTCAAGCTCTATCCCCTAAGGATGTAGGGAACTGGAAATGCCAAACCTCGCATAGTTCTGAAGTTGTTACAGGAAAATCCTATGAGGAAGGTTGTTAATTGGACAAGGCACTTTGTGGCATATTCATGTGGGATAAATTTAAGCACTGGAGGTTGGACCTGCTAAGCTTTATCTGGTTAGATGTGAGGGCAGTTTCTCTGCAGAGTAATTCAGAGCAGAAACGTGATGCCAACAGCTTGAATTACCCTGTGAGAAAACCTAAAATCTGAAGCTGGTTTTAATAACCATTATTCCTCACCAACTTTCGGCAAAGTAACCTAAAATCTCCAGGTGAGAAACGTTATGGATTTATTGCTTGGCAATGTGCTGTGATGGATTAGTCTTCAAATGGCCCTGAAATCAAGCATCACCTCTAGCAAACTCTATCAATGCCCGTCCTAACTTCTCATAGGGGCTTGGTGGGGAGCCGTATGATCTTGGAGGTAGGTCTGTGCATTTCATACTAACCTTGCAGTGTGGGAATTTGGGAGTTATTTGAAAGCTCCAAATCTGGTTTATTTTAATAGGATTTGGGAAGGCAAGGCTCACTTGAAAACTTTGCACTGAAAGGGTATTGCATTCTCTTGTGCAATACTCTTCCAGGAAAAACAGCAAGGCAGCTTTGCAGAATAAAGACCAAAGAGCTCTAGAGATGCCTGTAGCAATAGATCAAGCAATGGCCACATGCGGCGTGTTAGCTTGAAACTAGGAATAAGAAACGATTCCTGCTCTGAATATTCTCTTGTAGAAAAGCCCTGACAAACTGAGGAACGTTATTTTTATCCTTATTCTAAGTGAAAACCTGTTACAAACAAGGCAGGACAAGAGGCATTTGTAAGACAGGGTGTTTTGCCTTTCCCAATAACAGGGTCCCTAGATCTGCCAGGCAGCTCCTTGCTGGTGGGTCCTGAGATGCAGCAGCAGGGGTTAGGGACATACATGGGGCTGAAGATAATAACAGCACACCCAAAAATGCCCCTCAGCACAAGCCGCTTGTTCAATGTATCTTAGTCAAATGGGGGTGTGCACGGGGTGAAAGATGGGAATAAGAATAAACAAGAGGGTGTGTGTGCTTAGGAGGCTTATTAGCATGGAGGAGAAGGTACCTGACCACATAAAGAAGAGGAAGGAGATTGTGAATGCACAGGTTTTGTGCACCAAGGTTCCTGAGAGAGCTGAGATGGTTTGTGCTGGGAGAGGAAGGTGTGAATATGAGCAAAATGCTGGAGCTCTACAAAGGACAAGGGAGGAGCTGCTGAGCAGGGGGATATTTCTGTAGCCTCCATTCTGGGCTTAGTAAACTGGGGGTAGCTTAAGCTGTGGTCATGAAAGGGGTCCTTTCTACAGGGCAGGCTGCTTGGAATTGCTGCTTTCTGCTTCCAGGGGCTGCTGCTGTGGCCTCACCAGAGGTCTCATTCAAGACACACTCCCAACTTGCTGTTCAAGCCTCCAGTATTGTGAAGGGCAAAACCCATCTGAAAGCCCTAAGCAGAGGACTGGTAAGGTACATGGGTCCATGCGCAAGCCCCAGAGACACATTTGTCTTCCTCAGAGACAAATCATTGAATGCAGGAGTTGGTTCTCATTCTTCTACACACATATATTTGCTGCCAAGGGTTGCTATTTGATAGTGGGTAGAGCAAAGAACGCTGTCGCTGACTTCAGATCAGAGCTGGGTGAGGAGAACAAGACTCCCATTCCTGTTCATGATCAGGACTCTCAGAAAAGGGTCTGCGATGCTGTCATGAGTGTTGCAAACCGAAGAGCTCTATCCTTGTGCTTTAGCTCTGGTTTTTCCTACCACATTGTAAAGCTGTGGAAATCAGCTGCTCATCATCATGTGTTTGAGGTGGTGGACATCAGAGCTTCCCCTCTGGCTGTTTGCTGGAGTCTCTTCAGGTCTTACTCTTCCTATCTGTTCACATCCCAGTCAGCCCATACAAACACAGCCCCACTGTCACCTCTCACATGACCTCCCTGCGCTGACCATTTTGCTTCTGGTTCATGAAATTTAGAGTGGATGAAAATGTAAGAAGCAAAGGGGGTTATTCATTTGCTGGTGAGAAAAAAACTTCCCTTGTGAAGGAGGATAAATGGTCTTAGCTTTTTTCCTTTAGTTGGTGCGAGCATGTGGGTGAACTGAATTGCCTTTTCTGGGTACTTGGATTGATTCTTCTCCAGGTTTGTTCAGTGGTACCATTCTCACTGTGCCTGAGCACTCTCCTGGGAGTCTTTGGACTCCTCTATTCCTGTCTCAGGGGAGCTGTGTACATAAGGCAGCAGCAGCAACAACAAAATCACTTGGGAAGGGAAAAAAACAGTTAAACAGCCACATTGCTGAGCTCCTGCATCCAGTCTTAGTGAGTCACTTTGCCTCTGTTTCCTCCTTTGGGAGACAGTCCCTACATGGGATGCTGAGAAGGTTAATTAGTTAATACACTAATTAACCGAGTGTGCTTTGAACAAAGGAATCGCTTTAGGCACTAGCTCTCATGAAGGTCTAAGTCTAATACTGGTTTTAACAAGGTTTGGCTTCCACTTCTTATCAGCTGGGATAGCTTGCCCTCAGCCAGAGAGAAAAGACAAACTTACATGCATTATTCATACTGTTGCCACAACATATCTGAAGCAGAAATGGACAGAGTCCATCCAAGCTCTTTCCTGCCTTCTTCTTCCACCAAGGATGAAGATGAAACTGGTTTTCTTCTCACAAACACAGCTCTGGGGCTCCAGGCCAAGGAAACAGAGAAATCCAAGCTAAGGCTTTGACAGCATTGCTAGTCAATGCCCAGCAGTCTGGTTGTGACCCGTATCCCACCTTGCTCTGGAGGACTGCACACACATAAGGCAGCTTCTCCTCTCTCTTCCAGAAGATGGATGAAAGTAGAGTACTCTGCCTGCTGAAGTGAGAAGCACTTCACTTTTCGCATCACTGGGACCCATCCCAGACTGGATTTGAAGCTGCAGCTGCAACAAATCCTGCAAGCCAAACTGGTTTAGACTTTGGCCAGTCCTGAGCTCATCCAAGGACACATGTCTAGGGAAGCACCTGAACAGTGAAGCCAAACCCCATAGTGGAGGCTGTAACTCGGTTCTGAAATGTTCCAACAAAGATGTAACCGCTGGGGCTGATGAAGGTTGCTTGCCTTACTCAGGCGTGAGCACAGCAATACACCTAGACCCTGCACTTCATCAGGGTGCCAGAAGATACCCTTTAAGAGTGAGACTGTCCCCACGGGCTGGGTGGAAGAGAAATTGTGACAGTTTTGATTGCTCAGGGAGCTGAGGTTGAGTTTGATTTCTAAATGTGAAACTAAATTCTCCTTCCACATGAGTTCTGCAAGCTCAGAAACTGAGGGTTTAGCTGGGCTCCTCCCCAGATGGAAAAGAAAACTCAAGGCATTGTCATTGCTATTTCTTCTGTGTCACAGTTATACAATACACAGGCCTAATCTACAGAGCTGAAAATCATAACCAGGGAGACAAGAACCTCCAGTCTCTGCATCCCTCTCTCTGGTCTAGTCTGAGGTGTGTGCTGTATTAGACTCCTCAAGGCTGCGTTTTCAGAGCTGCATTTTCAGAACTGAACTGCTGCTGAAAGCAGGCCCCCTAAAATAAGCAAGCTTAGTGAATGTTCCCACCTGCAGCGGCTGTGACGATGACACCAACAGGCAGGCTTCCTCCACCCTTTTGGCTGGAACTGTGGACATGTTTTCTGCAGGAAGAGCTCTTCACAAAACTCCTTTTCCAACACAGAACCTATACAGATTCCTGATTGCAGCCAAGTTTGACCACAGACACCATCATAGAGATCCATCTCTCTTCCCTCTTTGTGGGTGCAGAAATGCCTTGCAGAAACAGTACCAACATGTCATTGCTAATTAACGGTGTGTTGGCTTTGACCCATCCTCAACTGCCAGTTCCTAAAACCTGGATTTTTCTGCTTGTTTATCTTCCCTGGCCTTGTTTGCACACAGCCACCACCCAAAAAC